TCGAATTAATTTGCAAGACAACACTGGTAAATGGAAATGAAAAAACTATGTGGTAATCTGTGAATTATCTTATATATATCGCTTTCTAAGAATGACGATGCTTTGCCACTTGATTGGACCTTATTCAACAGTGCGGATATGAGAAATAATTCCGAGATATCTATTGAAATGATATTTACTGCTTATCTACAACAATATTTAGGATATTACGTATGTTAGAAAAGGTAGTAGATTTATTAGTTCACATTTGTTGCATATTTTAGATTACGAATGAAAATCAAATAAATAGTAAACAACCGGTACAAAACCTATCAAAGAGCCACACTAGTCACAAACCGTATCTAAACATCAGTATAAATGAAATATTCCATAAACGCAAAACTGAAGCACTTTATCTTTGGTTTGTTTTCATAAACCGACCAAAAATGGCTAAATATCTTTGTTCTAGAAGTCGAGTAAGGAAACATTTTCCATCTAAGTCTCTTTCGATGTTATATGTTGACTATCAGAATCAAACAGTGGCCACTCTTCTAGCAGTTGAGATTTACTACCAAGCTGCAAAGATAGATGTGAAAAATAAAGACCATTTTATTAATTTAGCGAAGTGAGGAAGTCAATTTTTCGTTTATGTTGAATAAATTTTGTAAATGTTTTATTTATTGAAAAAAAATAGAGAATTCGATCAACATTCAATGGGGATTATAGATGAGTGTTTCGCGAAAGATAATAGTCTTGCCACGAACTTACTAGATTGCAAGGCTGTAGCGTTTTACAACTGCACTCCTTTGGATGTGGCGCGTCGAGCCGATTGCCGAACTTTTCTCGCCAGTAATGCTGTGCAGCAATATATTACTGAAAAATGGTATCATCATTTCGATGACCAAAGGCGCCCGTTCAAGTTGCCTATATATGTTTGGGTTAGTGCAAGCTATGAATAATATATTCAAATATGATTTTTATATTTTAGATATGGATTGCATCTGTAGTTTTACCCCTTATACCAATTGCAGCTGTGCTTTTTCCTTCTCTCTACAAAGACTTTTCTGAAAATTCCAAAGTAATACTAATTAACAATATGTTGCATATTGTCATTGACTATTTTATTATCACACAGAAAAATAAAAGATCTATTCGCTATCGTCCGACAATAACCTATCGATTGGTGTTAGTTGAAATTTTTCATGTTTAACTTATCAATCTACTTTATTTGTAGATCTGTGGAAGAAAAGGAACTGGTGAGTCTACCAGAGGAAAGTAATCAGCAGTTCAACTGCAAGAAATCGAGTACGAAGTTACTTGGTTCAGTATGCAATGCATGCCGCCGGATTAAATGGTTTTATAAAGCTCCAGTTGTTAGCTTTTACTATCATGCTGTAAGTGCTATGCTCAGTCTTTAGATTTTGTTATTATGTTTCTGTTTGCTATCTTTTTTAAATTTTAGACGTTCTTTTTCGCATTCCTGGCTCTATTCAGTTTTGTCCTTCTCGTTGACTATTTTCCATTGAATACATATGGCGAAAAGCGTTCTGGCATTCAGAATTTATCACTTCCAATCACTGAAATCATCCTTCATATTTGTATTTGGAGCTTAGTTTTTGACGAGCTCTACCAAGTCAGTCTCCTTTTAACCGAAATCTGTATTTCTTTGTAATCTTTACAATATATCATGTGTCTATATATCATTTAGATCATCCTTCACCATAAACAAAATTACAGTTATATCTCCAGTATTTGGAACTGGATGGATTTATTAGGCATTACGTTTTACTTGATTGGATTTATTACTCGTTTTTTTGTGATTGAGTCAGTTTTCACTGCATCTAAGTACGATATTTTTTCTCGCTTATTAAAGATACTATGAATCGAATAATGTTCCACTGTGGATTTTGAAAATTACAATTGAACAAGATTTTCAAAAATAAAATCCCAAAGAAAATTCACTGAGACTATTCCAATAGGTCAGCTCTAGTCTGAGAATTTCATCCAACATGATACTTTCAAGTAGAAGCAATTAAAATTAATAGCCACTAAACCGTGTCTAAATCCGAGAACTCTAAAAAAGTGATTTTAGCATAATAATTCGTTGCTATCAGATGTAGATATTTGAGAAGGTAGCTTACTCTTTGAATGCAGTATTCGTTCCAATAATTTAACTGAAAATTCTCCTTTTCAAATTTCAGAACTATATTTTCGATTCGATCAGAGACTAGTGATTTCTATGTCAGTTCGGTAAGATGCTTCAAAAAATATGATTTTACGGGATCACTATGATATTTTCGGAGAATTCTCTTGTCATTATCATCACCTAGTGTAAAAAGCACTCGAGTCAGATGCTACCGTATGATATATCCAAGCGTTTAGATACATGAAGCGATCCAGTCATTTTTTCTCTGTATAATTCACTTTGTCTGATTTGAATCGAATACTTGTAATTAATGAGTGATTTTCAGTTTCAAATGTTATCCGTGTAAACACTAACATATTTATTCTACTTTTTTATAGAAGAAATTAACATGCAAGACTCTAAAAGAAGGTTTCTGTTTCATGTAATATATTCGTCGGTATATTCTTTACACTCATAGTGGTAAAAGTAATTGATTATAGAACATTAGACTAGCTGGTTGTTCTGACAGTATTTCTATTAACTAATCGATTTTGGAATAAATCAAATCCCAGAATTAAATATGAGTGTCGATAGTCTCCTTAAAATTGTCCAAGGAGAGGTTTGCAGATTTTCTATGATAAATTGTATCTGATCATTTACCAGAAAAAAAAACAGAAGTCATCAAATGAGAGTTAAAAATAGAGATCGAGTTTTTTTGGAAAACAAGTCTAAGAGTACTATTGAAAAATCAATAAATCATGCGTATAACTCTAGATGTGTTTTGTTTTAAGCAAGAACAAATTCGAGACATTCCAATGAACATTTGTATTTTGTAATGAATTCAAAAGCTTATATACTTTATTAAGACTATTAATGCTCGATTTACAAAAATACTTTGAATCCATGAGATAAAATTCTTCTAATTTAACTGTGATTGATTATCTTTCTCGAACACTAGTAACAAAACTTTGTATTTCATTTGTCTAAAGAACATGAACAACGTAAATGAAATATTCCTTTAAATTTTTCTGTATCTAGGATCTTCATGTCAATCGACCTTATAATATGGTCTTTTCGAGTACTTCATCTGTTCACTGCATACAAAGTGCTAGGACCAAAATTAGTAATGATCTTTAAAATGGTAAGTATATTACTTATCGAAATAAGACTTCATTTTCTGCGTTGTAGACGGAAAATGCTCTTTCGATTTTTTTATGCTTTATTCTTATTATTCTTTTTGGATTTTCAATTACTGCTTGGTCTCTTTTGTCAACCAGTAGCCAGGTTACTTGGTTCTATGCAGGCAATGGCTCATTATTCAATGTCACTGTAACTGGTGACGGCAGCGGACTCTGGCGTTGGGAAGTTTTACGAGATGTTTTCAACTGGGGTATATGGAAAGTATTCGGACAGACAGATGAACCCTACAATAATTCAGTTAGTGGTACGACGGACTTGACTTTCACTTTTGTTTCACTTCAATATCTAACTATTCGTTGTAGGATATGATGTCTATGGGTTATTTGTTTTCTTCTTTGCGATTGCATTCACAGTGATATCCAATGTACTTCTTCTCAATGTTCTTATTGCGATGTTTAAGTAAGTATAAACAAGATTATGTGTTGTTTTTGACTATGATCTCGCTTAGTGTGACTATCAATCGTATATCCCTACAATCAGATATGCTTTGGCGATATCAAAGATTCTTACTGGTTTATGAATACAGTGAAAAGACAGCACTGCCTCCTCCGTTGAGCATTCTCTGCTATCCATTTCTGTTCACAATGTGGATCTGTCGCCGTCATTGTGGCAGATGTCAAAACACATCGTCTCGAACAAACCAGATTGGTGGTATAAATGTGTGCATTTATGAAAGTTCTCGAGATTCCAATAATTCCTTTCTTATTTCAGAGAGTTCGTCTGTATATGTTCATGCGATCGATATAAATCAAATGAATCGTGAAAAAGAAATTGCAGAAATGTATTGGAAACATTACGTATCGGACGAAGAAAAACAAAAGCAAACTGAAGTTACTTTAAAAGCTCTGGAGAAAAAGTGAATATTCAATCTCAAGAAAGCATTCAATAACTTTCTTTTGCAGACTCAACAAAGTCAACGATGATATGGATAAAGTACTCAAGAAATATAATCTACAAAAGCCAGTTACACAAATACTTCCAGTATGGTATTTGTTCTTTGTTAAGCATCTTGTTTTTATGACAGCGCGTATGAAAATGATGTCATAACAATGCCATATTCCTCGAAAAACCACTAAAAGTCATTTCGTATATCCGCACATAAGAGCGTTTACAAAAGATGCATACAAGAAGTAATTTAAGTAATCGGAAAATAATGATTTACTAACATTTCACAGAAATGTTCATTTCATGATTTTTATACTGATGAGAAATTTATTACGAGACATATTTAGTCAAAAACCTTTTACTCACAAATGAGTTGACTTTGCCTGTTCTGATGTTTATGAGAGTTCTCAGCAACTTTACTGGATTCGGAGTCGATTTCAAAAGTATTATCAAATAAATGCGAAAATCTCGGATTTAAATCCGAGTGTTATGTGTACTTCAAAAAGTGAAAATGTATATTCACTGTGTTTTTTATCACTAAATTGCAAGGAGAAAATACCGGCGTGCTAAGTTAGCATGGACCGCACTGTATGCGACCCTATCCAGTGACCACTGAGTNCTCAGTACATTCATATATACTTAAAAATCATTGCTCAGAGAATATTCGTAAGCCATATGATCAATTTGGAACAAGACATAGATTCCAGAAAATATCATTTTTGATCACATGATTTCCAGTCAGCTTTCTATACTTATTTCCTACGAATTTCTTGCACAGAACTGCTTTTTTTCTATCACTGAAAATTCTTGATTACTGATAAAATATTAACTTACGATAATAATTTATATTTTTTTCCCATTTTTTATCTGTATTTGGTATATAACGTTGACTAAGAAATTCTTCAAGTTTATTTAATGATAATAAACTTTGACTATAAATAAAATAAAATTTGATATTTAAAAAAACAAGGATGAAACATACCTAAATATGAGAACTTTATCTCCAACTTGAATACATAAATCTAATATTGCTAAGGCAACTTGGAACTTAATTCCATTTGATAATTGTCCGCATACATATGAATTTAAAATTGTATTAGCCTAGAATGGAAAACGAAATAAAATTGTGTTAAAAATTTGGAAAAAAATCTTACAAAATCATAATCAAATTCTTTTTTTTCTAATGAAAATGTTGTTGTTTGTTGTTCATAAAGATTATTGATTGTTACAGTTTGTGGTGATGCACGATTATTTAAATTTAAACGATTATTTGACCTTGTTTTAGTTGCTAATGTTTTATTTGTTGAATTTGAATTTTGTTCAAGCTCAAAATCAAAATCTAAATCCGAACCATCTTGACGATCACGTACAAATTTATATAAAACATCTGAATGATTCCAAATCTATAACACACACAGAAATTATTCATCTTTCATATTTCAATAAAATTCTTTTACTTTGCAACAAATAGCAAATGCTCTTAATGGATTCAATGTTTTTTCTGTAGAACTTGATAAAGCTCCAACAGCTTCAAGAAATTTCATATATAATTGTCTTTGAATATTTGATAATTTTAATAAAACAACATATTCAGTTTTGGGTGGTAAATCTGATTGAAGAACATCATGGCCACGTCTTTGAAAATAATTGATAAGTTTAATTCTTTTTAAAAAAAAGTTTCAAAGACTTTTTTACCTTTGAATAAAACCTTCAAGTAAACTATGTAAAACATGTGCACGAGCACGCATAAGTTTTCCATCTTCAACTGTTGAATCAATACATTGACCATTTAATATCGGACGTTCAAACATATTACAAAATTCAAGTTTACTGCCAAGATAATTCGGTCGAACAAAATCAACCATACACCAATATTCTACAAAAAAAAACAACTTTTAGTAAAATTTCTGTAGGATTAAAATGTGAAATTCGACTAGAGTTCGGCGGTTTCTGGTAGTAAAAATGAGAAAAAACGGGTCCCACACGATTCTATTTTTTTCGGAAACGCCCAACTCTATAAGGCGCTATGTAACAATGACGCTAGCGAATAGAATAACAAATGTTATTGATATACGGTTTTCGATCATATAGTTATTAAAGTTTGTTCCAGTCTGTGATTAGAGATGTAAACCGATGCATTGAACGATAGTGACGAATGGCTATCATTTCCCACAAATTGTGGTTCTCTGAATCGATCCATAAATCAGATCCACATTTGTGAACAATTAAACAATAAGTCAGCTCTGGTGACCAAGTAGGGACTATAATTTAGCGACTTTTTATTTTAGGAATATTTTTAAGGATATGGCTGTGGACTGCGGATATGTCTATCCTTGAGCAGAGCACTCATTAAATACTCTACCCTCTCAACTGGAAAAAAATTCTTTTCAAAAAGCAGAATCTGGTCACGAGTTGTTTTTAGAAGAACTAAATGATCGAACCCGTTTGTTCGTCAATGAGGAATTGTCACACGTCTAGGTATGCATGTTATATTTTATATCAAAAATATCCCTAAAATAAAAAGTCCCTAAATTGAAGTCCCTATTTGGTTACCAGAGTTGACTTAACTTTTAATTGTCCACTAATGTGGACCTGATTTAGGAACCGATTCATGGAACAAAAATTTGTGGGAAATGATGACCTACCGATAGTGACGGGTACAAAAGCCTCAGATTTCGACAGTAGCGACTGAATTATTTCAAAAAGCTTTGTTAATTTCGAAATGAAGAAGAGAAAAAACGATGATAGATATTTTTCGGCAAGAAATTAGACCATAATATCTGCAAAATATGATTGGGGACGTCGAAAATGTTTAAAACTTCCTGGAGCCTCCGGTAACTATTTTGGGCAACGAAGACAAGCGCAACACAACCAATTGGCTTATATTTCTGTCCGTGATGACTCTTTGCTAAGATGTCTGTCATATCAGTGAAAGAGGTCCAAATTCGACACTTCTTTTTAGGTCATGTTTCAAAAAAAAAACGCACGAAGTATATAGACGAGAAGAAAATAAAAGTTCCTATACAAATTACCGATGAGATTATTTTGAAGTGGATAACCAGTGAGAACAATTCGACGACTAGAAAAAAAAATGAATTTAAATATCGATAATAAAATAAAACAAACTGTGTTCGAATTGATTTTAATGCAATAGCAACACCAGCTTGATGATTTTTAATTCGATGACCTTCATCACAAATGACAAGATCTGGATTGAGTAATGCATTTCGAACATCTATAAGAAAATCATATTTAGAATACCAAAAATCGAGAGAAAAAAAATTCGCAGATTTTGAGAGATCTTGTTTAAATCTCTTAGGTTCTTAATTTTTTAAGAGTCTCAGTCTCTTAACTTTTGAATCATAACTATGAACGCAAGGATAGAGAGATGCAACAACATACTTTTATCGGCAGATCTCAAATATACAAATTTTTCTTGTAAGTCTATGAAAAATGAAGTCTTCTTGACAATATTTCACATACGACTATTGGCTTTATACATGGTTTTGATGAAAATCAACCACAAAAGATATGGTAGAATGAACAATCTTTGGTTCTTCACTTGTATCTCTCTATGAATGTCTCAATAGCAAATTTTAATTTTCAATAGATATCTTAAGTAACCCTAAGATTTTGCATAAACAATCGAAAGACATATCAGAATCTCTGGCACGCAGTAGGGAATTACAATACAGCAGTTTTTTTTGTAAGAATCTCAAACGTCAAAAATGATGCTCGATATGCTATTACCTTCCATTGTTTCAAAATTTTTTTCTTCTTCTTCAAGATCAACAACAACCGGTGTAGCAGGTCTTGCTATGATTGATTTATTTGTATTGGTATTTTTTGTGGATGAATTTGTTTGAGAATTTTTTTTCATTACCATTAAACGAAACATTTCATAACCAAGAATAAGTGCTCCACCTGTTTGAAACCAATTTTGTACAAGTTTAGCACGCTGAGTAAATTTTTTTGATGTTTCATTCAACATATACAATTGAAATAAACGTTTATATTTAATATTAGGATTATTTAATGGACACCAACGATTAAATTCATTCAACCAATTTTGTATTGTATTTATTGGTACAACAATAAGAACTGATTTTGCTATTTTATGTTCTAATAATATATTAATAAATGTAATTACCTAATAAAATAATAAAAAAGAACAGCACATGATAATTTTTTTTTTGTTAGTTAAATCTTACTTGTAAAGTTTTTCCGCAACCCATGGAATGTGCTAGAATACAACCAAGTCCACCTGTTGTTTGAAAATGTTGAAGAGATTCAACAATATTATCATACATAAAACGTATACCACCGATTTGATGTGGTTTAAGTATAGGACAAAGATGTTTTGGTACGTACAAATTAGGATCACCATTAGGATGATTAATGTTAACAAGTATATCGCCTAAAAATACAATAAGTTTTGTTAGCATTTAGGGATGAAATTTTTTTTTTATCTCAGTTACATAAATACAACACTAAGACTATTTCATAGAGCAGAAGATTTTAGTGTCACGATTGAATTTGAGAAAATTTTATTTATCAATTAACTGTTCAATTTCTTTTTCTTTTGCTTATTAATATAATGTTCTTTTCAACTAAGCGAAAACTTTTAATTGGTTAATCACTGAATGATCCAAAAGTGAACAACAAGAAATAACTGTACGTTGACTTTTTACATTCTAAGAGTAGTCCATAAAGAACTAAAATCTGGATTTTGATAAAATTAGTATGCCAATGTTGTAGCAAACGCATTCTATGAGAAAATAGGGAATTTTCCATAATGACTATCACTACTTGCTGAAAATCATTGCGAAGAAAAATTATAGCATTCTATTGAAATGAACAATAGCATGAACATTTTTACACATGTGCGATGATGAATGTTTTCGTTTTTCTTTTTGATCATTCTACAGTTTTTAACATTAAAAGAGAATAAACGAAGTATTAATCTGTTTCAAAAATCTATCAGTCATAGAGAAGTAATAGTAAACTTCTACTTCCAATTGCGTTATTGTTAACAAATTCATCGAAACTATCATTGGATTAAAATATATAAGTAGTACACGGTATTTTTTTTCTGTTGGTTACATAGACTGATTATTTTTATGTTGATATTTATACCACTATGCACATAATCTATTTGTGGAATAGTTTTTAAATAGTTCGAATTGCATAGGCACCATGAAAAATTAGTTGCTTTATTGATCATAACTAAACATTTAATATCTTAGATTTTTTTACAAAAATAAAATATGCTTGTAACATCTGAAGTCAAATATTGTTTTTTTTTTGGAGATTTTTCTATGATTAGATAAACTCTAAGAGAAAATCAGAAAGATTAAGCTGAACTGTTAATAACTTTAGTTGATCTAATATTTCATCTGTTCATGTAGTTCGGAAAGGTTATTTTCAGCTTCAGTATGTTACACTACATTTTGAAACATTAATTATCAATTTTTTTAAACTCATATTCTTGTAGAGCTTGCTTAATTTTAAGCAAACAAGTATTACACGAATATTTTTATTTTTTGCCGAATTGTGCATCATCTAAAATGCTTAGCATGCTCAATAAAGAAACTATAACTTTTGATGGTATCGATGAAATTTACTTTCGCTCTACAAACTCTGTGTTTCATGGAAGGAGGTCTTCGTGAGATTAGAGAAAGTTTAAAAGAGTTGGTCTTGTACGCTGTTCTTCTCGAAATACAATTGTTTTCTTGTATTTTCTGCCTCAGATAAGGCATCTATGAAAAAGTTCAATTATGAAATTTTGTCCACAGATAAATCCTATAGTCATTAGAATATTCTGAAAATTTCGTTCTGAAAGAATCATTCCTTGTGACACATATCATTTTTGGATATCCATCATCTTAACGCAACATTTTTATGTTCTAGAATTCTCAAGACATTCCTAGCGATCAAAAGATCTATCTATGGACAAAATTACATAACTCGAGAAGAGAAGTGTATAAGGGACAAACTCTATGAGACTTCTTCTAGTCTTACTGAGACCTACTTGTGGACAAAATATCGACATTATTGATGAGTCATACTTGGAGACCTTTTTGTCGTCAGTCAACTATCTATATATATATTTTGTAATTTGCAGAGAGGGATCGAAACTTTTAGACCACATTGTAATATGTAGTTAGTCAGTGTACACAGTAAGCTGAAGAACACTGTGTCAGCACTTCATCCGGCAAGATAGTTGAAGTCCAGAGATATGCTCCACTCTCTTTTATGAGATAATCAAATGATTTGTAGAAGTTCGAAATTAAAGTTTTAAATAACTTACCATTCTCATCTGGTATATTAACTCGATCATCAAGATGTAAACGTTGTAATTTTTGTGTTAATTTATCATTAACTATTTCCGTATCACTTTCCACATATTGTACATCCGAATCATTACTATCTTCATTATGATCTGTTGTTTCTTTATTTGAAATATTTTCTTCTAAAATATATTTTCAGAATGAAAAACAAAAACAAAAAAAAGTTATTTATTTAACCTGTATCAATTTTTGGTTTTAATAATAAATTTGTAGTTTGATCTTCATCATCATCATCATCATCATCATTATCATCATCATTATTATTATCATTATCATCATCGTCATCTAGAACAATACATTCTTGTTCATTTGATTTTGTTAATGCTGATATTTGATTATAATTTGTTGGTTGATGAGTATAAACTGTTTGTAATGATTGTTTTATTTCTTCAAGACGTTTAAGACGATCTTGTTCAGCTTTAAGTGCTGTTAATGTTCCATCGTGTAATTTATCATTTGTTAATAAAGTACGAATATTACGACGCATATATGTTGGTTGTGTTTTAGATTTCTTTTTTCTTTTATGCCCTTTATTATCTGATGATTGTTCATTTTTACGTTTTTTTATTTTAATTTTTAATTCATTACTTGATGAATTATTTGTCATCGGTATTGTATATTCATTTGATTGATTATTATCATCAGAATTTGTATTACCATCGTTAATGAATAATAAATCATCTAATGTATCCGAAAGTGGTGATTCACTCATGATAAATTATGTGTCGATTTTTTCTTCACAATAATGAAACTAAAACATCTAAATAAAAAGATGACATGATTGGGATATTGTCATATATCGACTTACGTTATCGGTTCTTCCTTTTTTTTTTGTTCCGTTCCTATTTATATTTATTATTTATGGACTTTACTTTTCTTTTTTCAACTGTCTTATGATTGGTTAAATGATTTAGACCAATGAGAAATTTTTATTGTTGTATGTGTTTTAAATGTCAAAAATTTGTGACGAAATAAATATATTTTTTGGAATCTTCTTTTTTATGAAAAATATTATTATTTGTGTTTTAATAGATATTATATTAGGAAATTTCTAAATGACAATAGACATTGTTTCCTCTCAAAGGAAATTCATTCATCCTATGAAAAAATTCAAGAGATTGTTTACATTAAAGGTCAATCTAATTTCGAATATTTATGTTTATTTTTGATGAGAATAACACAATCAACCATTGAAATGGACTCTTTTTGTTTTGCTTTATTCAAATCTCTGTATGATCAAAAGATGGAGTCGAAAACAGTTTAGAGATTTTTCTTGCGAGTGATGATAATCATCTTTTAAAATAAAATTATCAACATTACGATACAGTTTTCCATATAAATCTTATGCTGTACGCATAATGCATATATAATAGAATGAACTATTTAAATATGATTGGAGATAAGTCATGCTGAACTCATCTAAACAATGTATTGACACTGCCTTACTTTCGTCATATTTTTTTCTGGATGATGGATTTCATAGATGTTGTGCAAGTGATAATTATGTTGAGATTATAAAAGTATTATTGATATACATGTTGGCTATAATATGCAGGGTATTCCAAAACAAAACTTACTTTTTCTGGAATTGTATTTCTGCTCCTCTTGAATTAATTTTTTTGTCTAATAGATAAAGATATTTTTATTTAAAAAACTCTTTCTACATAGTTTGAGAAAAATAATAAAGTCATTCACTATGAAGTTGATGTTGGAACGATATTGTTCGACCGAAAAGCAGAAAAAATCTCTCACTGACCGTAACTTTTGAGTCTAGTGACGAAATCAAGAGTGTGCAATATCAAGCATCGTCTTACCAACAGATGAATGAAAAACGTAGTAAGCAACATCGTTAAGACTACATATCCTGGTTACACTACTATGTTGAGTTGGAGTTCAATGCAATCATAGAGCTACTGGTGTACTTGTTGTCGAAAAATATTCTTTTTTCTTATGTTGTACTTGACTTCTTATTACTAAATCAAAATTTATCAATAATTAACACCTTTTCTGTAGATATTGAAATGCTCTATCTTTAGTAGATATTTGATCGTAACAAAAACGAATTCAAAATAATGATATAGCAAAATTGGTACGGTAAATCATTGATGCAAAATATATGGAATATTGTTATTCTACAGATATTTTAATAATGGTAGAAATTTATCTATAATTCAAAATGATTTATAGGTGTGCTTGTGCTGTGAAAATTCATAAGTATAGCCTGAAAATTTCAGCCTATATCACAATTTTGTTCAGGAACAGTTTTCATATTCAACAAATTTCTTCTTTGTCTTGATTTATGGTGGGATTTGTTCAAAATAAAAATGATTTTGCTTAATAGTGTTTTTTAGTTGTATATATTATCGAAGAACTTGATTGAAAAACTAAATCTTATAAATAAGTGTAGCAATTTCATTTCATAAGAGGTAAGATCTTTTCGCCATCCTTCATATATTTGCTTAGTTTATTCAGATTTGATGTCATTCGTATTCAAAATATTTGTTGTAATAAAAAGTTTGGTTGACATGTATTGTATTCAACAAGATACACTACTATAAACAAAATGATTTGGTTTACATTTCAAACCATATTATGAACGAACACAATTAATTGTTACTTTACCTATTAAATCAATTCTTTATGGAGATACGCATAAATTTTGAGAATTTCATGTTTTCGAAAACATTATTTGTTGTTTGGTTTCGATTTCTTATATTGAACTAGAATTACTCTTGTTCGACTACTGTTTTTTTATTCCAGAACGAGACCTATGTAGATCAGTAGAGGAAGACGTGCTGTGTATAATAGTGTATGCATTATCAAGTTGTATTACGTGCGCTGTGATGTCATTAGAGATGACCACCTCCGTCACAATCGGCAATAGTTCTGACGAAGCGTGCCGATATGGATGAAGAAGAGACCTAGACCAGGCCCATATTCACACTCTAAAAATATCGAAACTAAATCATCACAGTATAATATTTCTAAAACTATTCATTTTCTTTGTAAGTAAAAGATAAAAATTTATATGTAACTATAGTCATCCATGTTCTTCATAGACATATAAAACTAAACGGTAGTCCAAAAGTTTTGACTCCTCTCAATAAATCGATGCTATCTACAACAAACTTATATCAAGTTATTCATCAAATTATGTCATTTTGTAAAGGACGATTGGAGCTATCATCAGAAAAAACCTAGTTCGAAACACATAAATCTATTACAATATTATGGTCATTTTACTAATCTTGAGTGAAAGTTTTTACTTTACATTGCTTTACGAAAACAAAAAAAAAATCTTCAATGTTTGAGTCGTTAAGGTCGATCGAAATATTATTTTCTACATGGTTTTAATAGATGTTTTTATTTGATTCGATAGAGTTCGATAAGCTGTACGAGAATATGAATATCAAGAAAAATATATTACATGATTCTTACTTTAAGATACTTGTGAAATCTCATCTTGATCTTGATGTCGCGTAGGCTTATCGCCCGCTGGGTCCAACCACTGTTCAAATCAGTTTCTTCCACTGACTCCTATATCCTGTGCTAGGTGAACCATGCATTGGCAGCTACGACCACACTATTCTGTAATGTCGTCCAGCCATTCTCTGCATGGGTGTCCTCTTTTAGACTTTCCGTTAATCCTGGAAAATATTGTGTGTTTCCACAGTCTGTTATTTAGTTTCTCTTTGTCTGTTTCTTTAAATGCCCACGTTTCTGAAGCATACGGTAGTACACTGAACACATAAGTATTTAGAAGCTTCAGTTTGTTTTCAACTTTTGGTTTCTTTGTACACCATATATGCTTCAGACTGCATATTGTTCCGAATGTTTTGTTGGTTCTCCGTTTGGTTTTTCTGAACAGTTGTGATCTCATTTCAACATACTTCTCAGATAGTCAAACTTCTCAACATTTTCAATGGTTGCATTTTCTATATGTACTTCTTTATCAATGTGTTTATCACCGAATACCATCGTTTTGGTTGTAGCCGTGTTCACTATCAGTCCTGCTTTCTCAGCTGCTTTTATGATTTATTCAATTTGGCTGTGATGCGAATTGCAATCTTCGTTTAGAAGATCAATGTGATCAGCGAATCTTAAGTTGTTTATTTGTGTTCTACTGACATTGACATCGCTGCCTTTCTGCATTACCGTGTCTATTAGTCTTTCTGAATAGGCAATGAACAAAAGTGGTAACAGAGAATCTCCTTGTGTGGTTCCAACGTTAGTCTGAAACCATTCACTGATGTCCATGCCTACTCGAACTGCTGGCTGTGATTTTTCGTAACTCTGCAGTAGTAGAATGGCCAGCTTATTTTCAACTCCATAAGACCATAGAACAGCCAATATGATCTTATGCTTAATCGTATCGAACACTTCTTGAAAGTCAACGATGCAATTATATATCTTCTTGTAGTTCCTTTTTGCTTTCCCTGCTAGGCATCTGAGTATCTAAATTTGGTGTACTATGCTTCTATCTTTTCTGAATCTCGCTTGTTCCTCTGACAGATTGGGATTCAGGTGGAGCTTGTGTCTATTTAGCAGCATCATAGGTGAAATTTTTTCGATATGATTTATGAAAGAAATTGTTCTATAATTTGAGCATTCATTGAGGTCTCCTTTCTTGGGAATTGGCACCAAGATTGATTTTCTCCACTCTTCTGGAATTGTTCCTTCTTTCGATGCTCTGAGGCACAGTTCATGAATTTTGTGTATTAGCTGTTCACCTCCAGCTTGTAGCATTTCGGCTGGGACTTCATCAGCCCAGGAATTTTGTTTTTCTTGAGCTTGTCTATTGCTTCTTGTACTTCAACATATAAGATTTCATTGAAGTTGTCTTCGTATAGGCTACCACAGTATTGGGTTCATCCATCTTTGCCTTATATGTTCTTTTGATTGTAATATTGTGCCATCTTGTTGGCTTATGATTGTTACTTTTGGTGTATATTTCTTTTTTTAACATTTTCACCAAACTGTATGCTTGCTTGCTGTTACCGATTTGTAATCTTTTTTCAATGTCTTCACATTGCTCCTATATCCATTTTTCTTTGTCCTGTCTGGTCGATTTTTTCCCTTTGTTGCAGAGGTTTTTGTATTTTTTGATGTGCTCCACAGACAGATGCTTTATCTGTTTTGCTTCTCTTTTTTCATGTGCTAAATCTAAAGTTTTGATCAGAGTTTCAGGGATTTTCTTTTGCTATTGTTTTGCTAATGACGATCGCCTGTAATGCTTTTTTGACTGCTTTTTCAACTTGTACTGCATGTTCATTTATGCTGCAACTTGAATAAATGTTCTTCAAGTTGTCGTCTAATCTTTCTTGATAGGATTGTCTTGCTGCATTTGATCCTTAAGTTGCCTCATGTCGAAGCGTTGTTCCTTTCGTGGCTTGTTGTTGCATCTTTCAAGTTTTTATTTAATGTTGTACAGTACTAAGGGGCGTTTAAGCTGATGTCTGCATCTTGGAATGTTTCGCAGTTGATGACAGAAGTTTTCCATCGTTTCTAGGTGATCACCAAGTCAATCAAGTACTTGTAGACACCATCTGGTGCCTCCCATGTCCACTTCCGATTTGTTTTTTGTTGTAATCTTGTGTTACAAATGAATCAGTTGTGTTCTGCTGCAAAGTCCAATAATTTGTCGCCGCGTTCATTTTTATTGCCATAACCATATCTGTCCATGACGAACTCTCAGCCTGTGTTATCAGTTCCGACCTTTGTATTCCAATCACCAGTGATGATAACCATGTCTTTCTTAGGTATTTTTGCTATAGCATTCTCCAGGTAGTCATAGAATGTCTCGATATCATCTCCGGATGAATCAGATGTTAGATTATATACATGAATTAGTGTTAAATTGAATGGTGTTGCTTTGAATCTTGTTGTAATTATCCGGGAGTTTATTAGATTCTAGCACAAAAGTGATTTTTTCGCTTTTCTAGTCAGGAGGATTCCAACACCTATGGTGTTTCTTCATTTCCTGTTCAACGCACTTCTTAGATGCCGATAACATCATATCTATATCGCTTCATTTCATTTCTTAATGGTTCGAGTTTTTCAGTTGCCTATAAAGTTTGAACATTCCAAGTTCCAATGGGGAAAATCACTCTTTGTCATCTTCAGTCTTCTTGTGTCGTCTTTCGGAGCTGTTGTCGCTATTGCTGAAAGTGATGCTTTCCTTGTAATTCTTACGGTCGCCATTAATGGTGTTGTTGAATTTGTCGTAGTTGTATTTGTTGCTGTCGTGTTCGTGATTGTTCCAGTAGCCGATTTTTCGATTCTGCTCTAGTTCCTCGATAGAGGACGCGGACTTTGTTCACCCGGGCGACATCCGAGCCGGTATGATGTTCGATATCGAACGCACATAGTTGGTTTCTTTCATTTTTTTCTTTTTACAGACGGTGGTATCTGCATCCCGTTCCGTCGAACTCTCCTTCTTTTTTCGGATTGCGACCCCTCTGGTGAAGTTAAAATTTCATGATCGAAATAAAATTCAATAAAAATAATTTTCTTTTGCTTTGCTCTTTAAGTGCATAAATGTGTTTTCATTCAGTTTCTGTAATTGTTATAAATAAATATCCATGTGTAAGTAACGATAAAAGACTTTCTTAAGAAAATAAGAGATGATAGAAATCGAAGATAGAAGAAAATCAGACCGACAATGTTGTGGAAAATCATATGTGAACCGTATAGTACGATTTCATGAGAAAAGGTGACTTTCAGATTGGTTTATCAAAAAAATTAAGAATCGAACAACATCTCAACATAAGGATCGTTTGACCTAATTGCAGAAATTTTGGTGGACATTAGACGAATTGCCGAAATTCCATAGAACTTATATGAGTAACATGGTCCTGGCTCTGGTGGAATCGAGACTGAAAACAACTGGTCATATTAGAAGCTTTTGCTATATCTTATCGTCATTAAAATGGAAAAGCAAATTTTTCATACACTAAATAAGTATGTAAGATATATTTCAATAAAAATCAGATGTTGTTCTGCAGATTTATTACTTCATCTATTCATATTTCTTTTGGTTGGGTGCTTAATTATAACCAATGAGACAGTCTTATATATTTTTATGTCTATTTCATTTGATGGAAGTTAATAAATGTAAAAGAAATTTATCTTATATATAAGTAATCATGAGTAAAGCACATGAAGTAACAGCTTGGATTGATTTAAATATTATTGATAAACCATGGGGACAATCATTAACAAAAGAATTCGATGATAAAAAAGCAAAATATCTTATTGAAAGTATGCCAGTACCAAATACAATAACTTGGTTAGTTTATCTCAAATCTTATTTATTCAAATTAAAAATTGAATTTTCAATACTATTATAAATTATTTTGCTTTCTAAAGTAAATATTCTATAGAAATTTTTTTTTAGGTCGATGACAAATATTGCTAATAATATCGATGAAGAATTCGTTAGTCAATTGTTATTATTAATGACACATGAACAGTTTTTTCAATTTGTTTCTGTATGTAATACAAATAAAAATAATATATCAGATTTATTTCAAACAATAAATGATAAATATAAATCCAAAAAAGCAATAACTATTGTTATTATTGGTGCAAATTCATCATTAAGTCTTAGTAAATTATTAACACGTTCATCATTAATAAAATCTCATGATTTAGATAATATTTATCTTGAATTACAACTTCAATATAATTGTATTATAAAATATGCTGAAAAAGAACATGATCTTGCTGTATTAATTTTATCATTTACAAAAGCTATAACAGTTGCACCTGAAAAACGTTTAAAAAATTTATCACCATTTACATTTCATATTGATACAATGAAGCAATATAAATCTATACGTATTGATATTGATCAAACAAATAAAACACTTGAACAATTATGGAAACAAATTTTACAGCAATTTCCACAAATGGGTATTGAACAAGCACAAGCTGTTGTTAATCAATATGGTACTGTACAAGCATTAGTACAAGCTTATAAACGATGTCAAACAGAAAATGAAGCTAAATTATTATTAGCTGATATACAAGTTCGACGTGGTGCTGGAGTTTTAACAACAACACGTAAAATTGGTCCACAAATGTCAGAAAAAATTTGGAAATTATTTACATCAACTAATGGAAATGATCTTTTGTAAAGATAAAAACAACCACTATAAAAATATAACTTTACTTTGACATGTTTGTGCATTGTATAAAATATAATTATCTTTTTTTTTCTTGTTCTAGATAGAATTATGCAATTGAAATAGTTCAATATTAATTTTATCAAACTAAATCAATGTATCACGCTATTAGACATGAAAAAGTTTGTTAATTTTGATCTATATGTCACCTAGAGAAACACTGTTTATACATTTGTACTAGGGGAGAGGAGTCTCAATCCTATTACTCGCAGTTTCACCTTATCGACCAAGTTTCTAAATGAAAGTCATTCAGAACTCGTTAGTTCAAATCTTGAATTATTGAAAGCATTAATCAATATTTTATGCTGTCCGTTATGACTCATATCTCTCGAGAATAACTAAGAACAAATTGAAATATTTTATAAATATATAAATAAACTTTATGAAACCTAGTACAACTATCGCATCTTTCTTTCTATAGTTCTCATCCAAAAAAACAAAAGTTAAATAATCAACAAGCGCATCATTCATACACATTTACACAAACATCTATATGATTTGTTTCATCTAAAACATCAAATCTGTTGTCTAGAATTGATTCAATCAGTTATAGTTTTTTCAGAGATTCACAATAGTTATCTTTTCTGTTTTCATGATATTTTGTTCTTATCTATATGAACTAGCTAGTTACGCATTTCCGATATTCAATGTGCATACATAACTTTTTAGCTTCTGTGCGATGTTATCTTTTGAATTTATCAATAATTCTGATTGAGTCACTAATTTGTACATGTGTATTTTTTCACGATAATAATAACTGAGTCCAGAGTTGGACGAATCAACTTATTTTTGTCAGTTTTTCATGACACGATATCTTGTTCTTAGTTTTTATGCATAAAAAAAAACAAAAATAGTCTTACACAAAATAAAATGACATAAATACTGTAAGCTTATCTAGAGTCCTATGAAACAAACTTTTTTTTCGAGCCCCGGAATCCTGTTTTTTTCCGTACTGAAAATTTTTGGGACTATTTTGCAGAACTCTAGCCTAATTAACAAATTAAGAGCGAAACAATATTTATTCACATTTAAATGAATGTCTTATTGTATTTCAAAGACGTTAAAATGAAAATATTAGCTCGTGGAAATTTTGAACGATGCAATCTCATTAAAAGGTCACTTTGAGAAAATAAACATTCAACGGGTGCTGAAGTAGTAGAAATAGACATGCTTTTTCTAGAAAGTTTACTCTGAAACTGATTTTGGTGTTGAATTATCAATTTTTACTTTTTTGAATAAATGATCAAAGTCACCGACATCCAAATTTCGAGTTCAACCCATGGATCACATTCACCTATCTTTGAAATTTATTCAAATTACTTATGTTCTACATAATGAGAAGCAATGTGATTAAAATCTTTTCTTGAAGCAAAATAATCATGGACATCCATATATCAATCTCTTTTTGGATCATTTTAGCGAAAGTTACAAGCTTTCTTCCAAAAAGCTTTTCTGGCAGTTAACTCATTTTTCTAATTTGAATAAAGTTCGATTTATATTATCTAGCTTTATCATTCATTGTATCGTTTGATCGCCCTTTAAAAGCATATATAAATACACAGCAGATTTGCCATTATATATAACTGAAAGTACTTACTGCGTGACTTCACTAATGTATTTATTCCGTCGTATTCAATAATCTTTCATGGTGCAATGAAATATTAATTCATCTAAAAAAATACATTTTGTGTACAAGTAATATTTTGAGTGCTTCCATCAACTTTGACTTTGCACGAAAAAATCACAGACACAGCAAATAAATCACTTTAACCATGGCTCGTAAATAAAAAAAGGAGATGAAAAAAAAATTTCCAACGTAACTACGCAACTAATCAACTCACTATGTTTTTTACAACCAATTACTTTAATAATGAAATGTGTCATTTTATTAACAGATATGTACATTGTTTTCTTTTCAATTGAATAATTATCAAAACAAATTTTGAATTATTTGTTTTTTTTCTAGATATTGAAAAAAAAGATGTTTTTAGTTGTATTCGATTTTGATCATACAATCATTGATGCTAATTCCGATATTCATGTTAATAAACTTTTTCCATCCGATGAAGAACGCTTAATAGCCGAAAAAAATTGTTCACAATTTCAATGTTGGACGGATCGTATGCAAGAAATATTTCGTCAATTACATAATTATCATATTAAAGAAAGTGATTATATAAAAAATATGCAACAAATACCATTAACAAATGGTTTTTCACATTTAATTGAATATTTACATTCATTACCAAATAGTCATTTAATTATTGTTAGTGATTCAAATCTTGTTTTTATAAATACAATTTTAAAACATAATCATCTTCATCATGATTTTAAAGATATATTTACAAATCCAGCTTATTTTAATAAAGATGATCAATGTTTAATTATAGAACAATATGGTCAACAAACATGTCCAACATGTCCATCAAATATGTGTAAAAGAGAAATAATTGAAAAATATCTTCGTACAAAATTTTCTAAATCAATACCTGTTTTATTTATTGGTGATGGACATAATGATGTGTGTGCAGCGAATAGTTTAAAAAAAGGTGATCTTGTTTGTGCTCGAAGTGGTTATCGAATGGCGAAAGAATTAAAACAACAAGAAGAATTAAACACAAAAAAACTTCAAGCTGATTTTTTTGAGTGGAATGATGGAAAACAAATTGAAGATTATATTAAGGATAATTGGTTAAATAAGTTTTAAGAAATATATATATATATATGCATTTGTTTTCTTTTGTTCGAGATAATAAAAAATAATCTATTCTATTTTGACACTATATCTTCTGATAGCATTTTGTAAATAGCTAACTAAAGCAAAGAGTCATGTCCTAGTACTATAAAATCAAGAATGTAATAAGTTCTAAAGATAAAATGTACAAAAATGGTCTTCACTTTTTATTTTAACTAAACCGAAAAAAATCCATAGATCTTATTATTGTTACTCTCAAGATTTCAATTAAAACGTATCTACTTGTTATTACCTTTTGTTTAAAGATACGAACTATTCAATGCTTAGGACACCGATCTTTATTATATATTTCACTGAAATATTTTTTTATCCATTAATACTAATGGTTATCGACGAGACACAAGAGTTGAAGAATGCGCTTATGATAACATGTGTGAACCAACTTGAAAGCTCTTCCTAGAAACATGTCTTTGAACAGCACTAAAATATGATCTGTAAAAGGAAATAAATATCATAGAAGGCATTGATTCTACATTTTTTTTTTGCGATTTCATGAGATGCTATTTATCTTTTCTCTATCAGATTAACGCCTCTATTCTCGATAAATCATACGAAAACGCTGTTCGGGTTTATCACTTCTAGTCACTGGTTCAGACATATTCATAAACGAATACCTTGAGCCATTTGAATTTTGAAAAAATTTTATCGACTTATCATCGAACGTGTAACCGTACAATTTTTTCTACTTTGAGCTGCTTTTACAGAACACATTTAAGCGTTGTTTAAAGATGTACTTCCTACTGCAAGACAAGACATGACAGAATTTTTGTAAGCATATAGTTAGAAAAAATTTTCCAGTCTATGTCACCGGTTATATATGAGTGAATTACAACTTTTTAGAATAAATGATGCAAAAAAAAAATGAAAACAGACGGAAAAAATTTCTTAATCGTAAATTTGATTTCACTTTGTGCCTATTTCATCCAATACAATTTTTCCAACACTTCACTGAATAGTAAGTGAGATATACGGTATGAAGTTCAATATCTGCTGAATTTAATGATTAAATTACTTTTATTCTATGAAAGGCTCAAATCAGTTTTACAGTTCTGCATGGGAAGTGAGTAATCAAGAACAGTTCACAATACATTCATCGAATTTTCTCAGTTAAATTATACCTCAAAAAAAAAAAAAAAGTTTTTTTGGTTTATTTAACTAGAAATGTCTGTAGGAAAAACATCAGTATACATTTGAAAGAAATGAGTCAACATAAAACTCAACTTAATTTTCGTTTCAAGAATAATGAATGATAGATCAGACTAAGAAGCCTCAATTTGAATAAGCACCTCTATTGGGGTACATTGTACAAAACAAGCAAAGTTTTACACATTTTTGGTCACTAGGGAACGCCTATAAGTGTCTGATCGTTTTTTCTAATCGAAACTATATTCAGGTGAGAGGTCACGATGAGTAATGCAATAGCCACGAGTGGTTCGATTGTCTGAATCATTGTTCCTGACATACCGAATTTTTACTGCATTTCTTAACAGAAAGTAATCGTTTCCCTTAGGTCATCATGAATTCTTCTTAAAATAATATCTCAGAATACTAAATGGTTAAATCAGTGAAACTTTCACAATCAGTTAGTGCCATTGACAACTTCATTTGTACAAATTTTTAAGGCACAACTCAATATTTCAAGAATAAAGACTCAAAAAATCGAACCTTCTTAGATTTTTATACTATTTAGCATAATCTCTCGCCCAAATATAGTTTCAATGCTGCAAAGGCGATAGAACATTTAGGCACATTCCCTCATTAGTTTTAATAACGCAATTTTTGCATAAAAAAAAACATTAGGTTGAAACGAACGTCAGTGTTTGTCATGCGAAAGAACGTAATTATTTATCCTCTTAAATGTATTCTGTCATATTGTTATATTTGTATAAAGCTAGTAAGAAAAGCACCTTTGGAAAATTGAAGGTATTAAATCTTCGCATTATTATTTATCTAATATTTCAACACTAACATTTTATAGTAAAACTTATAATACGTTCTTCTAGAAAATTGAATCGTGAATCTTTTTGAAAAAACGATTAAAGCACAGCGATATTTACGAATTTATTTAGAGAAACAGTTATTCTGGTGTAGTTGTTAGATTAAAAAACATGACATTTATATTTTTATTTTCGGAGAATTGTGATTCGTCAATTGTTAAGTAGTGCAAAGGTATTCTGTTTATTCATAGTATTTTGCCGAGTCACGTCTTTGCGTCATGATAGACGTAAGCAACAAAGAGTATGATTCATGCGGAAGAAGTATTGAAATTAAAATGAGTAGTAAATGGGCTTTATACAAAACATGATTGGTTGAACAGCTAAGAAAATTGGTAAAAAATAAAGACTGTTACATGGTGAAAATCTTATTTTTCTTTTATTATAGAAAAACTACATGAATCTGGCCTAGGTTTTTTATGTTAAAACTACCCGAACACATTGGTCTTATTGATCAAGTTGTCGAACAGTCTATCCAAGATACGAAAATTGAAGATAAAAAAACCTATCTAAAACTCATCATTAGTCTAATGTCTCTTTTTTATTTAATATACAATTTAACAATCAATGACGAACAAACAGTTTTGACTTTTTTTCAAGTACTGAATAGATAATTTTGAAATAAACAAACGATCTTAACTGTTCTGCACATTATTAGTATCTTTAAATTTGTTTTTAAATATTAACTAAAATTCTTAATAACACTTTCAGTAATAGTATATAAAGCAATATTGTAAGAATTCTGAATATTTATTATCACAAGAAAAGTAGATGGGAATATATTCTTCGAGGATTGATATATAACAATAAAATAAATTTGCTTTTAACGTAGATAAGACGATTTTAGCAATAAGTCTTCTTCTTTTGTCTCTTTTATGATAAAAGAAAATATGAATTTTTAATCCATTCATAAATCGAAATGTCTTATTCGAGACATCAAAATAGAGCCAATTATATTCGATGTGATGTATATATATATAGATATAGATATACAGTAAAATTTGTCATGATATCATCTATAAAAAGAAATTCTCATGATATATCTAGAAAAATGTTTACTCTTATTTCCTTTTCACGCCAACAATAGACAAGAAAGTCGTTTAACTTCCTTCCTCTAGATTTCAACATTTATTACCAATGCACAACTCAACTATTGAATTGCCTTTGATTTATACTGTGGAATATGTACTTTAAACAACGTTACAAAGTCGAAAATGATTAAAGCATTGTGTACTTTTATTCTAAAGCAAAGAAAAAAAAAGTAGATCTATTCAAGTTTGAGTGCAGTTTTTGAGTAGACTTCTGAAATTATGCGAGTAGATTATACATAAAACTTCTTGCAAATCTACCAACATCAGTTACAAGCATTGGATCAACACCAATTTGTTGAGCACCATATTGAAAAAGTGAAGCACCGCCACCATATCCTAAATCATATCCTCCACCATATCCCCCTCCATAATAATCATATCCATAATGAGGATATTGGTAACCAGGATTATTTAGATACGCGTGCATTTGGGCAGCCACATTGTTGTAGTGACGCCCGGTGTGACGGCCCATTCCCGTTGGATAAAACATCATGCAATATTAATCAATAATGTTTATCTCGTTAATTTTTATATAGAAATAATAGCATAAAAAAATCAACGCAAAAAACGTATTTTATCGATTGCAATGAAGCGTAACACAACAATCAAAAGCAATGATAAGATTGGACATAAGATATTATTGTCAAATATTTATTTATTTTACTCTTGTATAGAATTTATAAATAACGAAAGAGAAAAAAAACAACATTTACACAATATAAAAAAAAGAAAAAGAAAAAGAAAATATTTCTTTTATGTTGTATGACGAGCTTTAGTAACAAAATGGTCGTTGTCTACTAAACTAGTTGTATATTTTGTTCTATATAATTTATTTTGGTCTGTTAAAGATAAAGGTCGTTGTGTATTTAATTTTCCGCATATTCGAGGATTTCTTGCTCCTGTATAAGATGGACTTCGTTTTGGATTATGAAGACAAGCGGCAAGTTCTTGTGGAGGTGTTTTTGCAAATCGTGCTTGAAAATAAACAGGTGTTCGTCCTTGACAATGAATAAGACGACGACTCAATTGTCGAATATCACTCTAATACACAAAAAAAAATATATCGATCTCAAAGTCAAATGAAAAATTTTACTCGAAATCGATTATTAGTAAATCCATAAATAATTGGATTAATTGCTGTATTTGATACTGTTAAAAAATGAGCAGCTATATAAAGAAGTTTAATTAAAATTGGATGAGCGCAAAATGTTTGATATGTTGTTTCTTGATAACAAATTAGATTTAAACATAATTGAAATACATTCATCGGGAGCCAAAGTATTGCATAAAGTACAACAACAGCAACTAACATTTTGATACCCTAAAACAACAATTATCTGAATTATGTTGATTATATTAGACATTCATACGTTATATAAGTATCTTGTTCTTAAGATATATTATCCAGCACGGAAACATGATCATATATTTTGTCATATAATAACATAAAATACTCAGTTTATCTGTTCTAGGTTATGTTTTAATGAAATTGTTACTGAGATCAAGTTTGAAAATTTTATATAATTGATATAAATAGATTCTGCTTTTAAGGTCATACGTTTATAGATATTTCTAGTAACTACATCTAATAAATGTACATTGACTGTAATTAATGATTATTTTTTATGACATTCTCGAAGTTCATTAAAAAAAAATTGAAAAAAGCGCTTCCATGGGGAAATTCATCTACTGATATAAATGCTTATAAATGGATTATGAACATACAGAAAACAACAAATCTGAATATTTTCTTTTTAAACTTATCATGTTATGTCGGCCTTTATTATATCTATATAGTTTCTTGATTTATTTGATAAAAATCTAACATCTAATTATTGATAATCAGTAATTGATTTTTAAAAGTTAGATAATAGTCAATGTATTTTTAAGTATTAATTTTTACCAATTGTTTTTCTTGCATGATTTCAAATGATCATTATTTATTTAAATAGACATTTTTAAAATGCACTATCATTATTAATAATTTTGTCAGGTAACAAATATTTTTGGGAAGACAACGAGTACGTCTAACTTATGTTGAACATTTTACTCATAAAAAACTTGAAAGTCAAATAATTAAAATTCAAAATCCTTAAAATAAAGTTACATTCAATATTTTAAGTCGAACTATAAACTTCAATGATTTCTTTTATTATTAAGAATAGATGTTGATCTATATTGAAGAATGTTTTCATTCGATTTACATCGAAGCTTAATTAAAGGAGAAAAAATTTTTTAATTAAATTTCGTAATGGCGATGAAATTCTCTGCTCAACAAAGGTTAATGACATTTCCTTCCAATAAAAATAAACGGATCATTTTGAACAAAGATATACATAGAATAAAAATTCTATCAATGCATTAAATATTATGTAAATAATTAATTAAACTCTAATATTTCATCAGAGTAGAACATTTCTACACAGAAAAATAGTAACAATGAAAAAATCTATTTTTATTAATGATTAATTCAATATGAGCGTGTTATGTTCATGAACTGTAATAAATATTTTAACTTATAATAGCAAAAACCAACGAATATTTCATAGCTAATTTACATCAAATTTTGTAAGGTTTATAAATGACTACGTCAATATTTGTATTAATTTTGCATCGATTATTAACAGTATTTATGAACAGAAATCCTCTCGGCAAAAAATCTTCTCATAGCTTTAATTATTCTGGCATAAATAAAAAATGATAAGATATATTCTTAAGTCTTTGATGCGTATAATTAGAGAAAAACTGTTTTGAACGGAAACAGCCTGTCGACATAAAATGTCCCGATAGATTTTGTTTTCTAAAGAATTAACTGTCTTAATTGAACCTTCTTTTTGTCTTTGCGGCTAGAACTCGAATATGTAAAATAACAATCAACAAGAATTTTGTCTTTAATCAAAAAGTTTTTTTTTCAAGCGGATTCACAGATTAACTCTATATGAAAAACAAAAATGGTTTGATGATTCTTTATCCGTAAGAATGTCATCTATAATTTTTTAGTAACTTTCTTTGTCAGCTGCAATCAGTTTTGTGTAGGCGGTTCGAAAACTAATTAAAGAAATTTACTTAGAAAAAAAGATCTTAAATACTTGAAAAATAATTATGCGAGACATTGAAATTGTGTTTTTAGGAAACTGCTCCTTAGCAAGAAGATTTTATTTCTGAGTATAAAAATAACTCTCGAATATGAAAATAAGTACCTTCTTAAATGAAAGATCTTTTACTTATAGACTATGTTTTAGTTCAATAAAGAAAAATAAACAACATACTTGTTTCAATTTTTTTCTAAATTGAATACTTTCATTTGTAAATAAATTTTTACTTCCTGAATTATGAAGATCATAATTTACATCATTTCTACGTTGCCATAATATAACTGCTATACGTAAATAAACAAAAGCTAATATAAATAATGGAAAAAAATATGTTTGTAAAAAATTTAATATTGTTCTTCGAACTTCAATTGGTCGCTGTCTTTTATTCGGTAAACATTGTACTGTATCAACAATTTCATAATGAAGTTGTTCTAAATAATACGTTGATCTTATTGTATTTGTTGCATTATCTAATGTACTTAAATAACTATCTAATAATGTACGTGAACTAACCCATAAACGTTTTTCATGTGTTGGTAATGAATGTGCAGGTGACCATATTAGAGCTAATGTTATGCTTAATGTCCATATAATTAATATTGCAATTAGATTACGTTTTTTAGGTGAATATATTTTAATTGTTAATGGATATTTAACAACACAATAACGATCTATAGCTATAGTTATTAATGTTAGAAGAACACCTGATACAGAAAATGTTTTAAAACCATCAAGTACAACACATAATGCACGTGCATATAACCAACGTTGAAATATAATTGATGTTATTGTAAATGGTATACAATAGACAGTCATTATAATATTAAATACAGATAAATTTAGTAAAAATGGTGTTAATTCCGAACGTGAACGACGACCAAAAAAAAATATAATTATTGCTATAGAATTTGTAAAAAATGAAAATATAACCATAATACCATAGATAAGTAAAATAATAACTTCATATGTATATAAATCCGAAAATGAAAGATAAGTTATTAAATATTGATTATAAAGATTTTGTAAAGATAATTTTAATGAAGGAATGTTATCATTAATTATAGTTTCATTCGATGTCATTGTTTATTGAAAAAAAAAGAAATAAAATAAACGAGAAATTTTCGATCTAGAAAAAATTATTATTATTATTGAATGATACATTGTTTATATTTTTTGAAAAATTTGTAACAAATGTTAAGAATAACTTGTTCTAATTCATATACACAAATGAGATTTATTCTCACTGGAGTTCTTTTTTCCCTCTTTTCCTTCCTTTTTTTCTCATTTATCTTATAGATTCTTTTTTTTTTGGCTTCTTCTTCTTCCTCTTCTTTTGGCTACTATTGAGGATATAATGTTCATTTTGTAGGAGGGTAGAAAATGGTAATGATGAATGATGGCAGATCAATCTACTGTGTAATATAGTTCACTGAAGGGTATTCATTCACTAGTACTATGAAATATATCGAACACATAGTATTTCGATTAATATGCATGACAAGAATTGTTTTCTATAAATACGAAAAAAAAAAAAACATAACATTATTCATTTATTCAAATAAACAACGGAGAACTTTTGTTTTTAATCGTTTTATTCACTTTTCGAAATAACAAAAAAATGTAAAAAAAAAAAAGAAGAAGGGAAGAATATTTTTCGATAATATATTCGTGACACTATTGTGAATAATCAAAAACAAGTACTTTTATCTTATTCTGCGTGAAATAGATGTTAACTGTATTGATTTACTGATATTATTATAAATAAGAAAAGGCGTTCTCGAATTTTGTTTATTCCAAATAAATGAATATAATAACAAGTGACTTAGAATTACCGACTTTAATCATAGATGTTTTGATTGCATTTGTTCCAATGAATTCAATTAATTTGTTATGAGATGATTATTTTTTCTGGAAGAATTAATATGGAACATATCCAACTTTTTTCTTTACAAGCAAAATTCTACTTATCAAGGTTGTGTACAATCGAAAGAACAACATCCTGGAAGCAAGTCTATAATGACTATCATCATTATTTTCATTGTGACTATCGGTTTCCGTCTTTTTCTTCACCCATATCTGTCATTCCGCTTGAATATACATTTAGAGTTTTAATGATGACTAAATAAATAAATACGTGTGAAAAATAATCTTATCTGTATTTGTTTTTTTTTTTTACTTGTATAACATAAAATAAAACAAAAAACACATTGTAGTCTGAAGTGATTGATCTCGAAGTACTAATTTCCTGACTTATTAATGAGAATGACATTAGAAATATAAAAATAGTTACAGTAATATTTCACTTGAGAAAATAATTTTTTTTGCTAAGAGTAACTATAATGTATTTTTCACAATCTCAGTCAATGTAAGAGTTTCT